CCTTGGAGCCTGGGTTTTTATATTTGTCAAATGGAAATGATTCTGATTTCTCAGGGCTGTTGAGCAGATAAATTGAAGTGACTGAAAATGCTTTATGGAAGAAATCATAAAGTATCATTTTGTCCTACTCCTTGCTATGTCCCAGTGCCTAGCAATTAGTAGACACTCCCAGTGGTATTCTGTATGATGCAAAGAGTCCTTAGAACAGAGCTGGTTTGGGTCTTATTACAGAAAGACAGGAAGTTAGAGTGAAGATGAGAGATTACAGTGGTGCTTTTGGGGAGGAGAGGTGGCAAATGAGTGCAAGCCCAGCTGGCCACTAACCCTCACGGTTCCTCCACAGATGCTGGCATCGGGAGCCGCCTCCTGGCAGGCAGCACCACAGGTGCCTTGGCTGTGGCTGTGGCCCAGCCAACGGATGTGGTAAAGGTCCGGTTCCAAGCACAGGCCCGTACTGGAGGTGGCCAGAGGTACCAGAGCACTATCGAGGCCTATAAGATCATTGCCCAGGAGGAAGGGTTTCGGGGACTCTGGAAAGGTGTGTGTGTACGAGGTGTTTCGCCTTCCCCATCTTCCTCCTCCCCTGTTCCCTGGTCTCACATAGAGACCCCTTCCTCCTGTAGGGACCTCGCCCAATATCGCTCGAAATGCCATTGTCAACTGTGCTGAGCTGGTGACCTATGACCTCATCAAGGACACTCTACTGAAGACCAACCTCATGACGGGTGAGTTTGGGTAGATAGTGCTGGATCCCGCCCTTCCACTAACCCAGGAGCTGGTGTGGGTCTGGCTGCCTGAAGACCACATCTTTTCACCTTATTTCCCCTTTGCTTATGGAATGAGTTTCCCTTGCCGCCTTGACACCAACTGGGACAAAGTTTCCACCTTGCACATTGAGGCACTGAGGCTAGATTAGCAAAATGACTCCTCAAAATGACCCTTCTCAGGAGAGGTCCCAGCTGGAGTCTCTGTCTCTCTGAAACCACGAGACCCTAGCTACTTAAGTCATCTCTTTCCTTCTGGAATGATGAGGTGAGGAATCCTGACTGCCTCACCTGCTCTCCCTCCTTGGCAGATGACCTTCCTTGCCACTTCACTTCTGCATTCGGGGCAGGCTTCTGCACCACCATCATCGCCTCCCCCGTCGACGTGGTCAAGACGAGATACATGAACTCTGCCTTGGGCCAGTACAGCAGCGCTGGCCACTGTGCCCTCACCATGCTCCAGAAGGAGGGTCCCCGAGCCTTCTACAAAGGGTGAGCTTCCAACCCACCCCACCCAACCCCAGGCCTTCTGACTACCCATACCTGTCACACAGGTGGGAAAGAACAACCTGGAATTGAGTGGCAATCAAGTGTCAAACCATTTCTGATCCTGGTCCTGGTATTTCCCTGGCATCCTCGTGCTCTTAACTCCTTCCTCTCAGAGTTGCTATCATGCCTACTTTATTGCTGTTAAAATGGAGACTCACAGAGGATTCTTGCTCACCACCCACAGCTCCTTTCTCTGGACCCTCCCAACCTCCTTGGGACAGAGAAGTGGGTAGGGTTGGATGCAAGGGCCCAGCAGGGTGAGTGGGAGATGACCTGTGTTTTCTCCCCTCTAGGTTCATGCCCTCCTTTCTCCGACTCGGTTCCTGGAACGTGGTGATGTTCGTCACCTACGAGCAGCTGAAACGGGCCCTCATGGCTGCCTGCACTTCCACAGAGCCTTCCTCTTGAGCCTCTCCTGCTGCTGACCTGACCACCTCCGTTTTTGGCTTCAGCTCCAGCCAGGCCCTGCTTCCCTTTTCCTCCTCCCCTCCCCTCTCTCCCAACCCCTTCCTCCTACTCCCTTTCCCACCACCTGCCTCCCTTTCCTCAGTTCTCACCCCTCAGCTCCTGTTGCCTCTCACAGTCCCCATGGAGTTAACCCCAGCTGACACTGAGGGAAACCTGGCACCGGCCAGGATCTCAAGCCCTCAGTCTCTTGAAAAGTTCAGCCCGACTCTTCCTCCTGCTCCCAAGCCCAGCTAGCACATCATTCATAACAAGCTCAACCTTGGTGTCTCCTCCCTCTGTCTGTTACCAGGGGTCTTGGTCTGATGGGCCAATTTTGGCACTTGGTGGGCAGGGGAAGAGCCACCGGACTTGGAAACGGGGGTGTGACCTACCTTCCATCTCCAGCATCCAATCTGGGGTCTGTGGAAGTCATCTGGTCCACATCTCTTTCCTTACCAGGCCTTAGTCATCAATGGCCTTGGTCTCCACAGGTCATTTGAACTTTCCCTCACCAATGCCTGGTACTCCAGTGCCTGCTTTTTCAACCCCCTGGCCTGTTTATCTGTAGAATGAGTGTTATTCTCTCCCCTGCATCTCCTGTGCTGCTTGGAAGATTTAGAGGAACTTGGGAATCTTGATGTCACGTGCTTATTTTATTCCATTTTACAAATGGGGAGCCCACCTCAAAGTCTCAGGCTGAGTGAGGACAAGTCAGCCTGCTTCCCATCCTCCACAGTCACACCCTTAGGAGGCAGGATACAGAGCAAACATCTGGCCTCAGCCTGAGGACTCTTCCATTTGGAGTCTCTCCCTCACCTCCAGCTAGAGATCCCAAGGTGACAGGACAAGCCAGGGCTTAGGCAGCACAGGGGAGTCAGCCTCCCTGTCCCTCTTCCTACCACCTGTCCTCAGAGGCAGGAAAGCAGTTGGGCATAGCTACTTCTGTTTCAGTGGGTAGGGGACTCAGGTTCCAGAATCCCAAAGCATCTTGTGTGGGGCTAAGCCCTTAAAATTAAGCCATCCAGGCCTATTTTATAAATGTCTGAAGAAGCTGAAGGCTGAGACAAGTCATGCAGGCAAGGACACAGGAAGCCAGCAGCTGAACTGGGACTAAGACTCAGTCTCCTCCCTCCCCCTGTGGACTCTTCCTCCAGGGACCAGTGCTGGGGTCCTTTGGGAATCCTGTTGGGCACCTGTGGAGCCAGGCCCAGAGAACATGAGCTCCCTTCTCATATGGCCTAAAGCAGCTGATGCTACTGCACCCTTCCCACTGGTCACAGCTAGAGGCTGGGCCCTTCAGTGCATGGGCAAGGGGTCCTGGAAAAGGAAGGAGAGACCAGAATTCCTCATCCTCCTAGCTATGACAAATTGAACTGAGGTCTCATAGTCCCCCAGAGGGACAGGGTTGGCTGCCATGAGCCAGGGTGAAGGTGGCAGCCCAGCCAGGCCATTCTCTGTGGGGCAGCATAAGTGGAGGACCCAATGCAACCCATGCAGTTTTAATTGTCATCGTTCATCCTGTGAGGTAGGCTGTTCACTTGCACCAGAGGAAACAGGCAATTTGTTGCCCTAAGTGTGTGTGTCAGCTGATTCATTCACCAGCCTTGTGGTTCAGACACTGGGATGGACACAAGGCCTCGAGACCATCATGTTTCTGTGCATGATCCTGGGACAGTGAGCTGGGAAAGGTGGTAGAACCACTGGACAGTGTCCCAGGAGGCCTCAGAAACTGTCCTCAGCCCTTAACACCAATAATGACACGCCCTCCTTTAGCTGACTCAAGGCAGGACTAAAGATAACAGGTAATTTCATAACAGTCTCTTATCAGGCCTGAGAACAGGCTTCCTTAAGAGTCTCACCCTGAAGGAAAATTTAGGGGCAGGCTTTCCTCCTGGCCCAAAGGAGACCTGGTGTGCTAGAGTTTTACAAGGCAGGTCCCACACTCCCTCACCCACTTGTTTGCTCTTATTAGTAATAACAGGGCACCTACTACCACCTCACCAGCCAGGTCCTGCCTCAGGGCAGAGTCTGCTTCACTGTTTCCCACAAACTGCAAGATAAGGGTTATAATCTTCACTGTAAGAAACAGGCTGAGAGGCGAAGCAGTTTGCCCAGGGGCACAAAACTGGTAAGTAGAACACCTGAGGTATATTTAACTCCAAAGCCCACATTCTTTGATGAACATGCAGAGATGCTTCCTAGAACCTTGGTCTGGAGTCTACATCTCAAGGTCTCCTGCTACTTTCCCCTGAGGTTCAAAAATGGCTGATTGGTGCTGAGTCCCCAGTTAAGAAAACCTTATGCTAATATGGTGCTTATGGTGGAATCTAAGCAATCTAGATATCAAGGGGGCCTTTTCTGACACCTCTAAAGTCACTGCAGAAGTGGCCACCCACTCTCATATAAACTTGGGACTTTGCTAAGACCCAAACCCAGTCTCCAGTGAGGGGTGTCCTTCCCCAGGACAGGAGAGGTGCATGCAGCACTGTTGACGACTGCTGAAGTCAGCCTGGGGAGGCAGGTGTGGTCTACACAGGCCCAGCTGGGCCAGGAGGCTGGCACTCCCACAGGCCACGTTGGCAGCAATGCTGGAACCCTGAAATCAAAGTGAATTCACCAAGCACTTTCACACTAATGACATGGCAGCCTGTGGAGAGCTATGAGCTCTGCTTTACTGACAAGACTAGCAATAATGCCCAGGGGGTCAGTGGGAGAGCTGGGAGCAGAGCCCAGGTCTCCTGCTTCCTAGACCACCCTGCCTAGAGGCAGGCACAGACCTGACCCTCTGCACAGACAAGGCAATGGAGACTGGCAAGGTAGAAACCAAAGCCATTTCCAGCACATGTGTCCTTTGTGTTGCCTCTAATCTAAGAAGGGTGAATCTGTGGGAAGCAGCCTTCAAGGTTCTGGTGACAGCTCTGTCACTGAGCCCTATGTGACCTGGGACAAGAATTTTGTTTTCTTTGTGCTTCAGTTTTCCTGAGTACAATGTGACTAGATCACATTGGAGACTGCCCTTCTAAGGATTGTGTGTCATGAGAAATAGGACTGAGGACACTCAGAGGCCATGCAGCACTGCCCTGCACTACCAACATGGTAGGCTCTGAGCCCTCAGGGGCCTGACTGTGCCCACACAGCCAGGACAGGGGCCCAGGTCCTCAGCTTCCTAGGCCCTGCGCCTCCCTCTGCTCCACAAGAAGGCCTGTATATATAAATCCCTCCAACGCACACTCTCCTGGGTGTAGCTGGAGGATAGGAAATAAAACTTTATTGTGTCAGTTTAAAAGTCCCATGTCATCCCATCCTCACATGTCTGTACAGTGGGCTGGCCCCCCGCCCACCCTGAAGCTGTGGGGGTTGGGGTAGGGTAAGGCCCAGCTAGCCTCCTCTTCCTCCTCCAGCTCCCAGCCCACCAGAACTATGTCAGCAACGCCTGGCGCAGCAGCTGCTTCTTCTGTGGTGTGAGGTGGGTGGGGAACTGGATGTCAAAGAAGATGAAGAGGTCCCCCTTCTTGGTGGGGTCCTCTGGCAATGGCATCCCTTCACCTGGCACCTTCTTGAAGTACTTGGGACTGAGACAGGGGAGGATGAAAGAAGGGGGTTCAGAGTGCACCCCAGAGCAGCACTTCAACAGATTCCATCCACCCTGGCTCACATTACCTCAGGTGTGGGGCAATCACCAGCTTCTAGAACTGGTGGGAGGGAAGGGGAGACTGGCTTGTTCCAGACAGCTGGAAATCTCTGATGGAGGATTCCGGGAATCTCTTTTTAAGATGGGAAACCAGACAAGGAGTGAAGGAACATGAGCAGACCCTGGGTTTGGGGTGGGGAGTGCTGGACAGCTGAGCAAGCTTCCCATGTGAAGGGCCTGGCTTGGAAAAGGGCTTAGGGGATGCAACTCAGAGCTCTCCAGAGAGGTTCTGGAGGATGACGGCAACAAGAAATGACTGGGGGCCTCTAGCCTCTTCAGTGGCTTTAGGCAAGTTAGAAAAAGGTACTCCATTTGCCAGGAGAATGTAGCCTACAGCTTGGCCAGAGTGGGGCCTGGATTTCAGTCTCTTTCACCCTCTTGTGCTGGATGCAACCTGAACAACTGTACCAGGCTGGCCTGTCTGACATACCCACTAAAGCCCAGACGGTCCTTCTTTTGTCTATGGGGGCCCAAGCAAATGAACTCACTGGACGATGTCATTGATAGGGATGTTGAGCAGGCGGTCATCTAGGGTCTTCACCTCCACGGTGCAGCAGGTCAGAGCCTAGGGGACAGTAAGGCCAAGGGTGTGAGTAGGGAAGGTCCCCATGTCCATTCTGTTTAAAAGGCACTTTATGAGACTATTCAGTGCCAGGCCCTAAGCTGGGCCTCAAGGAGACAACAGGATGTTCAAGGACAAACAAGTGAGTCACCCAAGGAGTTCACAGTCTGGTAGGTGAGACTGATGTCAGTATGTGTTATGACAGAGGAAGTAAAAGCATCAGTGGGAGACAAGGAGGGGCCCCCAAGCCATTCTGGGGTGGGGCAGGAGGGCTTCACAGTGGTGGTAGCAGTTGATAAGGCCCTTAAAGGAACGAAAGGTGGGGAGACAGCACTCCAGGCAGAGGGCCCAGCATATATAATAGAACCCAGGTGTGAAAAGAAAAATGCACCCAATGGGCAGGAGCTCTAAGTGGCAGTGGCTGGAATGCAGGGGATGAGATCAGCAGGGGCCAGATATCCGGGGGCCTTGAATGCCATGCAAACATGCTTGGACAGGAGTGTGACGTGGTGGGGAAGTGTCTGGAGGAGACGAGAAGGGATGCAGGAGGGCCACTGAGGCGGCTGCTGCACACATCCAGTTGCACAGACCAAGGCAGTGGGGATGAACAGAAATGGACCAGGCAGAGAGAGATTTGCCAGTGGGATTGACGGGACTGACTGAGTGCCTGCCTGCAGGTGGGGTGGATGAGGGGCAGCAGAGTCCAGGCTGGGGCGCCATTTCTTGCTTGGGTTGTGAGGGCACAGAGGGGCCACTCACAGTCAGGAGTGAAGACAGCCACGAAGATTCTGTGTGGCATTCCTCAAGTTCTGGAGGCTGCACCATGTACCGGGGTGAGTGGAAGGTGAGGCCTCCTTGCCTGCAGGCCTTATATGGGGTGTGGTGGGGGTGGGGCCTCACTCTGATCTGCCCACCCCTTGCTCCTCCACTTCACCCACTCACCTTGCCCAAGGGGATGGAGTACACAAAAAAGAGGTTGTCATTCTCCCTGCGGAAGCGAGGGTGTAGCTTCTCCTTTACGATGAAGATGATGTCCGCTGGGATGATGTTGGGACCCTGGGCAGGAGAGGCCAAAGAGTGACAAGGACTGATTGGCTCTGTGACCTTGATCAAGTTCCCGCCTCTATTGGGCTCCATGTCTTCATGTGAACAAAGGAGATTAGACCAGGTTTTCTGGAAGGGCCTTTTCAGTTTGGCCTCATAGCCCCTCCTCTGAGAAGCCTACCCCAGTGAATCCTACTTCCCACCAACCCCTGCCTGTCCTTTGGAAGGCACATTAGGGATCAGCTCAGTCACTCCTGTGTTCGCCCTGCCAGATCAGGGCTCCCAGAGGCAAGAAAAAGCACTGCCTCCTTCTCCCTCAGTCTCTCCACCACATGAGCCCTGGTGACTGACTCTAGTCAGCGTCCCTCTCTCTCACCTGGTCCCCTTCCTTCTCGAAGATGATACGTGTGCCCTGCCTCCAACCAGGCTTCACATCAATCGTGAGGATCTTGTCCTTGATGATAGAGGAGTACCCATCCTCGTTCAGCACCTGTAGTGAGATGACAGGGGAGGGAGGTTTGCTCAGGATTTCCCACTGGGCCTTTACACATGTGAAAGATGGTCTGTGGGATCTGTGCTCAGCTCAATCCTCTAGCAACAGGGAGAACTTGCCCGAGCCATCCCCATGCCCACCCTATTCCACTGGAACCAAGAACTTATGATTCCAGGATGGCAGGGCGAGCGATGTGGCTGGGGCCTGAGATGCCAAGCAGTCACCATGATTTGATCAAGGCCACAATTCCAGCCCTAGATATTATGTGGCCCTGGCCACTAACAGACACACAGTGAACATGAACTCAGTTCCTCACCCACCCCAGATGCTTGGCCTTGAGCCTCTGGCAGGTCTCTTAATCCCAAAGGGAGAAAGACCACTGGAGGTCGACATTATCTCAGCCTTACCATCTCTTATGTCTTCCATCCATTCCCCAATCACATGCCCAGATGGGTGCCATCTGTGGAAAGCATGGCTCCAGTTGGCAACTCCTCTGCTGGGCAAAGGTATGAGGGGACCTTGCTCATGTGCCTAGTACAGGGCTGGACCATGGGACAGGGCCAAGCCAAGGACTGGACCCTGGGAGGACTGTCCCCCAGCCCACCCCCCATGCCCACACTGCTCCTTCTTATTCATGAGGTGTACACACAGATGAAACCCAGAGGATATTGTCTGGAAACACCCAGAGACCAGAATTCACAGGAGATTCTCCTCCTCTTCCCTCAGGGATGGGGCTGAACTGAGAAGGGAGAGCTCTTATCCCAGTTAGGAGCAGGCAGAGGGGATTCCTGCACTGGGAAAGAACCAGGCTAATTCCCTTGTTACCGAACACAAGATCATGTGCACAGTCAGGCCAAACAATAGGAAAACATCTGAGTTTGGAGCAGAGATGGGTTTACTGCAGGGCCAAGCAAGGAGAATGGGTGGCTCGTGCCCCCTAAAAATAACCCTGAACTCCCTCAAGTGTTTCAGCTGAGCATTTTTAAAGGCCAGCTGAGGGAGGGGCGTCCCAAGGTATGTGATCAGCTGTGCACAGTTCTCTGATTGGTTGATAGTGATCAATCCTTAGGTGCCAGAAGGAGGGCTAAGTGCTCATGATCATCAAGTCGTTAATTTCTTCCATTTGGTGGTGGTTTTTAGCATCTGAAAAACTTGGATGTATGAGATGAGATACTATTATCTGGGTACTCCAGAAAGGAGTTACAGCAGAGGATATCTGGGAGAGGTCTGTCCCGGGAAGGCCCCATACGGTCCTGCTTGGTTACATCCTCAACTGTCCCTTCCAAATTTCAGATTTTAGAATTCTAAATCTAAGATTCCATGATTCCATGACAGACCATATATGAGGTCTCCAGTTAGGGTCAGGAAGGAGGTGACCAGCAGGGTTGGAGGGGATAGAAGGTGGCTCCCAAGTACTTACCCTTCGAGAGATCTTAATTTTCTTGGTGCAGCCAAAGAATAAGTCCTCCAGGGACAAGTAGAGGTCTCGTTCAATTGGGGGGTCCTGTTTCTTGACCCCTCGGCCCCGGAGCCCCCCAAAGTTCAAATCCACCTCATTTCCTTCTGTATCAAAAAACTCTGCAGGAGGTGGGGAGAAGTAAGGAGTAAGAGAAATTGTGTCCAGAAACTTGGATTCGTAGACAATCCCCCTACCTCTTCAGTTTCCAAGTGTTATATCCAGCCTCCTATTCCCACTTTGCAGATTCAGACAGTTTGGTCAGTCCAACGAGCTGTCCTCAACTGCAAATCCAATTATTACTGTCCCTTGCCACTCTCCACTGCTTCATCTCTGCTTTGGACTCCATCCCCACTCCACCGCCAAAATCTGGGATGTGTCCCTCAGGAGAGGAGTGCCCTCTGGTGGCAGTGCCTGGTAGTGCAGAAATGACACACTGTTAGCTTTTGTGGAGGAGGGTCAGAGCCTGCCAGTTCTCCCTACCTTTCCCCAAGCTCCACTGCCTTTCACTGTCCAGTCCAGCTCAAGACCACTAGAGACCCCAGACTCAAATTTCTATGAAGTCAGCAGCTGAGATGTGGGAGGAGCACAGTTAAGCCCTAACAAATTTGAGACATCACCAGTGTGTCCCCAAACTCCTCTCTCCTCAACTTCTTTTGCCCCTGCCCAGCTCTACACTCATAACCCCTCTTGCTGTCCCACCTTCTATCCTAGTGCAAAGAGCCCCTTCCCTTTGATGTGCAGTGCAATTATCCAGGCTTCAGTTTCTCACTCTGTGGGGTGGGGTAACATGCCTGACCTGCCTTCCACCATGAGGATCAGGTAACAAGATGATGATGAATTAAAACTAGCTGAGAGCTTACCATGGGTCAGGTGTTGTTTTCAGCTCTTTGTATTATTATCTCATTGACCCAGAGAGGTCAAAGAGCTCACCGTCTCACAGCAAGTAAGTAGAGTTGGGATCTGAACCCAGGATGATATGATTATAGAACCACTGCCCTTAACCACGAGGCTTAATGCTAGACGTGAAGCCGTTTGTAAACTGTAGTCATTGGTCTCTATCATGATTCAGCTTTTCTGTACTCTGCCCCTCATAGTTAGTGCCACAAAAAGAACTTCATAGGCTAGAATAGTGCAATGACCTTAGGCTGGGGGGCAAGGCAGAATCTCACTCTGTCGCCTTAAGATGTGATGGGTCATCAAGAGGCCTATGAATTACCAGGTCCCCTCTTGCACCACTGAATTCATTTGTTCACACAGCACCTATGATATGCCAGGTCTCAGACACCTCAAAACCCAGGTCACAGGAAGCCCAGCCCTGCAATTCTGCAGGGAGATGGGACACAAGAACCCCTGGGGTGAAACACTATAGCAGTATCGCTCCTGGGAACTGCCTGAGGGACCCCTAAACCATGAACAGGCGATGCCCCTGTAAGCTCTGGTTTGGCTCCTCTGAACAGCCTCTCTCCGTGTACCTGTCCCTGAAAGACAGGCCCATCGTATGGTATTTTTCTGAATGCAAAGCCTGTTTTCATAAACATTAATCTCATTTGATAATGACCTGTGAGGAACGGCTATTTAACAATGAGGAAGCTGTTTCAGAGAGGTGAATTGATTTGCCCAGAATCACACAGTTCATAAGTGGTGGTGCATGGATTTGAGACAGGCCCTCTGACTCCAAGTCCCTTGCTTTTTCCAGTCTCACATGGAGTTTATAAACTCAGCCTCCTCTGGCCAACAGGTGAAGGCAATTCACAGTGGGCAGGACCTCTGAGGTGGAGAAGCAGCCAGCCACAAAGCATATTAACATGGAGACAAGGAAGAGAGAACTTTTGAAATGTAGACAGGTTGTGATATAGCCAGGGAGAAGAGACTGGGGAAGCCAGGCAATGAAAATCACGATTCTGAGTTGCTTCATTGGAGCCAGCAAGACAGATCTGAAGGTGAACTGTCCTTGCAAGATGACTGAATCTTGGAAGTCAATTCTTTGTCAGTTTTTCTAGGACCTGGGATCATCCTCCCATCCATCCCTGTACTCAGTTGACTAACATACACCTGTACAATGAAATCTTATGCAGCCATTAAAATGAATAAAGTAGACCTATATATAATATAATGTATAAGAAGGTAATCGCTAAGTATAAGTGAAAAAAATCAATGTGTACTATGTGGCCCTATTACCTTAACAAAATAAAAGACATAAAAAATAAATATAAGCTCATAAATGCATAGAATATTTCTAGAAAGATACATAAACTGTTAATAATGAGTGGCTGCTTCTGGGGAAGGGATGGAAGGCTGGGATTTATTTCTTTTTCAATGAATTGGGTTTTTGTTGTTGTTTTTTCCCACCATGTACTATATATATTTCTTCAAGTAAACAAAGCTGAGACAGGCTGGTACCTCAGACCCTTTGCTACAGTGCTTGCACCTGGACAAACATCTCCTCTAGCAACAAAATACAAAGAAACTAGAAGGGACTAAAAGGTACAACGAGGGCAAATTATGAACAAGATACAAAAAGACCAAAAACCTCACCACCACTTTGAAGAGTCCCGAACAAAAACAGGACACAGCACATGATCCCTGCACACACAACACTACCAAGTGGGTGGCCCACCCCCTGGATCCACCTCTACCCCACCCCATTTAAGGGACCAGTTTGCCACCTCCTCAGGGAGGGAGCAGGGAAACCTGTTACTCATTTTCACTCCCTCGTGCTACAGCATGAGTCCCAATAAAGCCTTGCCTGAATTTCTCGTCTGGCCTCTCATCAATTTCTATCGATTAAGAAATCCAATAAAAATAATAATAATAAATAAATTAAAAAAATAATAATAAAGAAATCCAAGAACCCTGGCCAGTAACAAAACTATTCAAAGAAAAGCATCTTCTAAAGCTCTGTGCTTCCCCAGTAAGGCAAAGGGGCAGGCAGGACCTCTTACCATTAAAGGGGTTATCTCCCCCGAAGAACTCATGGAAAACCTTTTCAGGGTTGCCATGGAAGACATAACCAGTTGTCCATGGGGTCTGCGATCCAAACTCCAGAGGAATCCCGCCCTTCAGGCCCTCCTCTCCGAACTTGTCATAGATGCCTCTTTTCACCGCTGCGGATATGTGTCACCTTGAGTAGGGGGCCAGCCTTTGAGGCTGAGAGAGCTGGAGGGCTGGGAAGTAGGTTGTGAGACAGAGAGAAAGGGGCGAGGCGAAAAACAGCCTTATTTCAAAAATGCTTGCTGTCTGGCAGTCTTTGGAGTGAGACTTTGGAAGTTAGGGGCTTAATTTCATTGTGAGTGGACACAGCTACGGCCCCATACCCAACAGGAGAAACAGGGAAGACTGAGACTTGCTGGGGGAGGGGTGGGGACTGGAGAAGAAACCAAGGGCCTAAGGGTCAGGCTATCATCCTGGGATCTGAATTATATCAGTCATCATAGAGCTACTGTCTTATGTGGGGTAAACAGAATCCTAGAAACTTGAGATTTTAGAACATAAAAATTCTAGAGTTTTGAAATCCTAGAGTCCAAAGTCCTGAAAACTCGGGACTGGAGAAACTAGTGATCTAGGAATAAGTAGGCGTGTCTGCCTCAGCCTCAGCCTTCTTCTCTGGGCAGGAAGCATCGCACTCTGCATCCCTGCAGGGGACGGGTGGAGTGTGGGGATGTGGAGGAGTCCTGCCCCAGGTCCTGCACTGCTGAGGGGCACCTGTCAGCATATCTGGGAGCTCTTCACACCACGTCCTCCACCTGAGCTGGTGTTTGCTGGAAAGCAGTTTATTATGTTTGTTTTCTCAGTTTGTTTAAATGCTGAGCAGCGAAGAACGTTTATTCTCTGTTGGGCCCCCTCAGAAAGCCTGACACTCGGAGACATAAGGAATGATCTTAACATAGATGCAGGACAGAGGGCCACCCTCCACGCTCAGCCCAGTTACTCACGGTCGCTCAGTACATCGTAGGCCTCTGCTATTTGCCTGAATGTCTCTGCCGAGGATGGCTCAATGGACTTAAATGGGTGGTTCTTAAGGGCAAGTTTTCGATACCTAGAGAAGCAAGGGTTAGTATCCTGAGACTCAGACCACAGCTCAGAGCTGGCTCTGCTGCCTGGTGGCCTCCTGGAGCTTTGATGCTCCAGCTGTAAGTCAGGGCTGTGGTGGCCGGGGAGGAGCATCACTCAGAGCCCTGGGAAGAGAACTCAGTGTAGGGAGCACAGTTGACTGACAGCCCCAGCAGCTGTCCTCCTGGCCATTTGTGTGAGGCTGCACTGGCTCTGAGCGGCTCCCAGCCAATGCCTCAGCTTGGTGGGGGTATCAGTGCTGGCTCTTCCCTACAGGACCCAGGCCTCCTCCAATACGCAACCTCTGCCTGAGGCCTCCCTATCAGCCTGGCTGAGATTTTTCCAGACCACACTTCAGCCCTCCCTCCCCCTCTCCTTTCACATGTATCAGATCTGCACTGTGGTTTGCACACTCCTGTTCCCTCTTCACCCTCACAGGGGTTTCCCTTAAAACACTTCTTGCATATCTAATCCTGTCTTGGTGCCCAAACTGACACACAGGCCTCTTGGGAAGATTAGATAAAATAAGGTGTCAGAGGGCTTGGTGTCAGAGGCACTGGGCACAGGTCAGGTCCTCTCACTGTCCCCCACCTCTGTGCTCATTCTCTTCCTCATTTCTGTATCTGCACAATCCCACCACTCAGAGATGCCACATCCACAGCATCTGAGGTATCATCAGGGTCCCAGGAGGAAAGAGATTTGTGGAGAGTTTAATTAGGGACCACGCATTACAATGTGAGAGGTAGGAGGGAAACCACAAGGGACAGCCCAGGCTCCTGACACTAGGAGCCCTGAGGTGCCCAACACTAGGAGCCCTGAGGTGCCCTGACTGCCCCCGATCTTATAGTGGTTGTCACAACCTCCCTGAGATTTCCAAACCAGCCCTTCTCAACTACAAACGCTGCAGTCAAGTATGAAATTGCAAGAGAACTCAAGCAGTGAGGAAAAGTAACAAGGTTTGAGAAGAGTTCAGTTTTTCATGTAAATTTGAGTAGTTTAAAGATGCAGTAACATCACTCTCATTCACCTGCTTTCCTAAGTGGGAGAGAAAGGGGTGAAGTCACAGCCCAGGCGTGGCAGTCTAGAATGAATATACTGAGAAGTTAATAGCTGGGCAATTATGAATCATCATGGTACTTTTCTTCATTACATAAATTTAGTCTTTTTTGGGGGGAGGTGTCAAAATCTAGGTACTACCATAGGAGTGTGTCAAACATGTGACTCATCCCTTAAGAGCTGTTTCAGGGGAGAAGGGTTAAGGATATTGTTTGGAACATATACTATTCTTTTAATCACTCTTCATATGACATGGTTTCAGATGCAAATAGTTGCTGGGCATTTTCATATTCATTATCTCATATAATTCCATTTCAATACCACAACAACCCTTTAAATTTTTTTAGAGATGGGGAAACTGAAGCTCAGAGAGGTTAAGCAATTTGCCCATGTCACACAGCTACCAAGTAGAACCTAAGTTCAGACCTTGCTCTTTCCATTGCTTAACTTGGGCTTATCTTTCTGCATTCCAAACTGCCCTTCATCCTTGTGACCTTTCCCTAGACAGGTGTCACTGGCCAGGAAGATATTGTGAACACTGGGTGACATCACACACAGTCCTAAATTGTTCTGTTTCATGAATTTGTGTCTTGTTTCTCCAACCACACTGTAGACACTTACCCCCAAGAGGTCCCCTACAGGACTTGGCCCCAGTGGCCAATTATAGTCAGCAAGGTGTCTGAATACTGACTCTGCTAGTTATTGGCGCATGGCCTTGGGATAATAATGGCACCTACCTCTCAGGGCTGCTGTGATAAGTGAAATAATGATGGAACATTCTCAGAACAGCATCTGCACAATTCAGTAAGTGTAGCTATTACGACTACCCAACCTTAACTGAACTGTCTTAGACTCCTCCCCTTTTCTTTACCCTCTAATGATCTAATTAATGGCCAAGTCCATTCTTTCTTTTCTCCCCAGCCCACTGCCCTGCTTCAAGCCTCATCTTTTGCCATGATTACCATGACAGCCTCCAAAGTGGACTCTCTCCTTCCAATATAGCTTCCACATACCCCGTATATCCCCTTTTTTAACCCTCATCATGCTTGCTGTGACTTATTCAACATCTGTATTCACCAACAAAATTAACCTGCACATCTGATTCATATCTCCATCTGCTGAGACTATACCTAACCCATATGGTAGATGCTCGATAAATATTCATCAAAAAAATTTTTTTTCAGAAAAACGTGCTGATTCCTGTCCTAGACTTTTTTAAGAAACACTGTAAATCCCCAAGACTTGATGGAACTATTCAGAGATGCAGTTTATTAAATGCCAAAACCACACGTGTCAGCCAAAATAAAATTTGTAACACATCCGTCAGGTCACTCTCCTGTTCACAATCCTTTGGGTCTCCATAATATTAAAGTCCCCTCAGTCCCCATTTCATTGCTAGGGAAAGCAGGGCACCCAGGAGGGCAGGCAGGGTAAAGGATGATGGATTGGGAAACCTGATCCAGCCCAAAGCCAGGATGTAGGTGTGCAAGAAGCAAGAGAAGGAACAAGGTTTATCTTGTCTGCCTAAACTGTGGGAAAGTTCAGTTTGGAAGAGATGAAAGTGGGGATTTCCCCAACACAACCCAAAAGCCTCACTCCCACCCCAACTTACGCGTTCTTGATCTGGGCATCCTCTGAATTGCGAGTGATCTGGAGCACAGAGTAATAATCCTGGCCCATGGCTGGCTGGTTGTCAGAGGGTGGGTAGTCCTGACTCCAGCAGGGCTGTTAGTCTGCGTTCCTTGGTTGCTCCTGACAACCACACAGGGGCACTCTGGGAGTTGTAGTCCTTCCTGCCTAAGCAAATTACCTTCTCAGCTCTGCCTTACAGAAGACCAAAAGAAAAAAAGGAATCATAGAACTGATTCTGTGAGCCTGATAAGGGTCACTCAACTCAGAAACTAGTGAGAGAGTTTTTAAGGAGAGTAGTAATTAGTTTTAACAAAAAGTTTGAAGAACAAATACATTTGGCTATTTTTAAAAAATAATTATGTTAGAATGCTTTTAGATTTTCAGAAAAGTTATGAAGAAGAGTTCTCCCATATACCCCACACCTGGTTTCCCCTATTATTAACACTTTACATGAGTATGGTACATTTGTCACAAATAATAACCAATATTGTTACATCATTTATAACAGAGGAAGTCCATACTTTACTCAGATTTCCTAGTTTTTAAGCTAATGCTGTTCTTTTTCTCTTTTTCTCCTGTTCCAAGATCTGATCCAGGATATCACATTGCCACTTAGTTGTCTCCTTAGGCTCCTCTTGGCTGCAACTGTTTCTCAAACTTTCCTTGTTTTTGGTAACTTTCACTGTTTAAGGAGTATTGGTCATGTATTTTGTAGAATGTCTCTCAGCTGGGATCTGCTTGATGTTTTTCTTATGATCAGATAGGGGTTGGGGCGTTTTGGAAAGAGACCACAGAGGTAGAGTGCCACCCTCCTCCCATCAGGTCAGAGGCACACACCATCACCATAACTTACCACTGTTGATGTTGATCACCTGCTGAAGTAGTGCTTGTCAGGTTTCTCCCCCATAAAGTTATTTTTGTTTCCCCATTTCTGGATTGTACTCTTTTGAAAGAAGTCATTTTGCAGCCCACCCTTCAAGAGTGAGGAGTTCTGCTCCACCTCCTGGAGGGCAGCAGTGCTGTTTTCCAAGGTGGCACAAGCCAGCTTCACACACCACTGCATGTATCCTAAACAACAAATTTAACTTTTCATATTTTTAAACTTTATTTAAATGGTATTATTCATGCAAATTGTGTGTGTGTGTGTGTGTGTGTGTGTGTGTGTGTGTGTGACTGACTTAACTTCACAGCGGTTGTATAGCATTCTCTGTTGATGCTGAGTATTTGGGCATGTGCATCAATTGCAAGGTAACATCAGACAGTTTTCTGAGGTGGTGATTCTCATTTACAGTGGCAAAACAGCAGTGTGTAACAGTTCCTTTTTGCTCCACGTTCTCACCAATTCTTGGTGTCAAGTTTTTAAGTGTTTTCCAATATAGGTGTGAAACAGCATCTTTATAGATTTTAATTTGCATTTGTTGGTGGAGGTTTTTCTCATGTTTATTGGCCATTTGTTTTTCCTTGTCTGAAATGCCTATTTACATCTTTTGTCCATTTTTCTATTAGGCTATACTTTTTTTTAAATTAATTTTTTGTGACTGTATTTTATGTTTTTTTGTTGATAGTATAAAATACAAACCCCTTTCACCTTGGAGCTTGTCTTTTCAGCATTTTTTTAATGGGGTCAAATTTATCAATGTTTCTTTTGGTTCTACCTTTTCTGTCTAGTTCATGAAATATTCCCTATACAAGGTCATAAAAATCTTCACTTATATGTTCTTCCAGAAGTCCATTTAACTTTAAAATTTTTAATCTACCTAGAACTTATTTTTCTGTATATGGTGCCAGGTAGGTATCATTTTTTTTTTAGATATCCCACTGTCCCAGAACCATTTATTTAACAGTTCATTGTTTTCCCACAATCTGTACTGACTGCTGTGTTACATATGAAGTTTCTACATATGCATAGGTTTGTATCTGGACTATTGTTCCATTGGTCTATTCCTGGGCCAGCGCCACACTATAGCCCTTCCTCTCCCCTTCCTCCTCCTCCTCCTCCTCCTTTTTCAGGAGTGTCTTCTCTGAGTACTACTTCCTCACTCAGCCTCTTACTCCTCTGAAACAGAAATGTGTTCTTAAGAAACGATCTAGTATCAGTTACACAGGGAAAGAGCAGTGCTACATTTTAAACCTCATCTCTAATTGTAGATGGAAAAGCCTGATGTGCCTTGATGGCATTTCAGATGATAGTGACTGAGATATTTAGGAACTTTCCTGGGTCCTCTGAAGCCACACTGTTACAGAGGAGGGCCTGCCTTAAAAGTAGCTCTTTCATATTATTTGAGGCAAAAGATCTATTTTAGGTATATTTAGGTATATCTAGAAGTGGTAAAACGCACTTTTGGAGTTGGGCCAAAGGACAGAGCAATCAATTAAGACACAAAGTGTAGGTTTTGGGTGAGTTGAGTTGATAGAAAGTGACCATATCTTGATGCTGCTGTGCTTACATGCCATTTGTGTGACCTGAAGCATGTTTATTTAATGGCCCCATGTCTAAGTTTCTTTGAATAAATGGCATTATCAACATGAACTCCACCACAGGGTTGGTGTAAAAATATTAAACTATACAAAAGCACTTATCACATAGAAGAAGCTCCCTCAGCATTGAGGCAGTAAAGTCAGAGCCAAATCCTATCTGTTAGCTACTAGTTTTATGACCTTAAAACAATTACTTCATAGTTACAGTTGTCTGGTTGCAAAATGAAAATATGGAATTACTCTTTATGTTTTTTGCATTTCCAAATTTTCTTCTGTATTTGCCTTTTTATTTAACTACTGAAATCGAGCATCTTTTCTTGTGTATTGGCCATTTGTCTTACTCTTATTGCCAGAAAAAAATGTTATTAAAAATTAAATTCAGAGACTTGGAGGAAGGCCTTGCTCAGCCTGGGACTGGCTGTCATGAATGCAGAGGGAGAAGAAGACCCTATCAGAGGTGTGCAGGGGCTGTGGTGAAAGGGAGGAAACAGTTTGTGGGGCTGGCAGATTGGTTCCTCACAGAGGTACTGAGCAAAAAAGTGAATATACTGAGAGTCATGAGATCCAAGTTTCTCACTGTTGGAGAAAGGAGCTATTTACATAGAAGGCTAGAAATAAACCCTGTGGCATTGGAGACGTAAATGTGAACATATGACTTTGAATATATATAGAATGATGGATGTAGAAAGAGAGAAGTATATATGTATTGTCTACTGATAGGGCCTAGAAGCAATAATACCCCAGAAGTAAAGAGCATATTGGTACCCAGATCTTGGTTTCTGAATACCATTCTCCATTAAAAGGGACCAGGGCTATTTAGGCAAATGACTGATTCCCGAGCTGGGGAGGGGAAGTATAACTTGAGGCTTGAGTATCCTGTGGTACTAGAAAATAAAGAAATGCTCAAAGAATGATGGAAACATGTCAAATGGACACAGGATCCAGCTTGGGAAGAAGCTCCCACTGGCCCAACTTGGACAATTTAAATACCAAAGTAAATAATAGTAATAATGGATTATAATCCATAGAATAAAAGATGAGTCCATGAGTAATTTACACTAATATATTTATGATGAATAATTGAAAGAACAAATAAATAAATGGAGAAGGGAAAGTTCTTTCTTATAGTAGAATGCTGATTATAAATGTAAAAAGAATAATAATTAGAAAATCACCATTTGGCAATTATCATAGGAATAACTGATTCAGACAGAAATCATCAAAGAATGCTAAAACTAGCTGATGCAAGACTGATGAGGAATAGGTTATTTATATAGTCTCAAAGTATCTCCCCTCAAAATACTTATGAACTCTCCAGTGGAGAAACCTGGTAGACAACCATTTTAACTGGCTTAACATTGCCTGACTATAATAAAAAGGATGGAAAAAAACAAGTGTTGGCAAGGACATGGAGAAATCAAAACCCTTAGACATTGCTGGTGGGAATGTAAAATGGTGCAGCCACTTTGGAAAACAGCTGGCAGTCTCTCAAAACATTAAACATAGAGTTACCAAATGACCAAGTAGTTCCACTGACAGTAGAATGAAAAACATATGTTCACATAAAAACCTGTACACAAATGTTCATAGCAGCATTATCCATAATAGCTAAACAATGGAAGTAACCCAAATGTCCATCAACTAATGAATGGATTAAAAAACTGTGGTATATCCCTACAATGGTGTATTAGGGTTCTCCAGAGAAGCAGAGCCAAGAAGATGTGTGTATGTATAGAGAGATTTATTTTAAGGAATTGGCTCACGTGATCATGAGGCTTGAAGAGTCCAAAATCTGCAGCGTAGGCCTGCAAGTGGGAGACCCAGGGAAGAGTTGTATTTCAAGTCCAAAGGCAATCCTCTGGCAGAATTCCTTCTTGCTGGAGGGAGTTCAGTCTTCCTCTATTAAGGCCTTCAAAATTGGATGAGCCCCACTTATATTACGGAAGGTAATCCGCTTCACTCAAAATACATTTATTTTGTTTTATTTTATTTATTTATTTTTTAACATCTTTTTTTTTTTGAGTGGGAGGTAATTAGGTTTACTTATTTATTGATTGATTTTTAGAGGAGGTACTGGGAATTGAACCCAGGACCTTATGTATGCTAACCATGTGCTCTAATACTTGAGCTATACCGTCCCCCCAAAATACACTGATTTTAAATGTTAATCTCATCCAAAAAATACCTTCATAGAAACATCCAGAATACTTGACCAACTATCTGGGCAAATGGCCCAGCCAAGTTGACACATAAAATTAACCATTACAAGTGGGGTGTTCCTTGACAACAAAAACGAATAGAGTACTGACACATGCTACAAAGTGAATGAACCTTGAAAACATTATGCTAAGAGAAATAAGCCAGATACAAAAGGCTACATATTGTATGATTCCATTTATATAAAATGTCCGGAATAGGCAAATCCACAGAGACAGTCAGCTGATTAGTGGTTGCCAGGGCTAGGGCATGGGGAGTGGCTGCTGAAGGATATGAAGTATCTTTCTGGGGTGATGAAATGTTCTGGAATGAGTGGTGATGGCTGCACTACCTTGTGAATTTACTTAAAAACCACTAAATTGTATACTTTAAAAGGATAAATTTTATGGCTTGTGAATTATATCTCCAAAAAAAAAAAGGGCTAACATCACTAGCAATGAGACAAATCAACATTGTGTGGCTTCCAATATGATGTTCTTAGGACAGAGAATCACTTTTGGGGTATTGTTGCCAAAATGCCTAACCTAAATCTAATCATGAAGAAACATCAGACAAACCCAAAGTGGCCTATATTCCAAAAATACCAGGGTTATAAAACACAAAGAAAAACTGAGGACATACTCCAGACAGAAGGCAAATAAAGGCAAAATAAATGGATTAGATCCTGTAACCCAAAGGAAAGAGTGATTATAAAGAACACCGTTGGGACAACCAGCAAAATTTGAATGGGGTCTGCAGACTGGATGACAGTACAGGATCAGTGTGAGGTTCCTTGTTTTTATAGATGTACTGTGGTTATGGAACAGTGTCCTTTAAGTATTTAAAGGTAAGTGGACATAATATTTGTGTATTACTCTCAAATGATTCAGAAAAAAATGTAGCATATATAACCTGCATGAAAATACGTACTATATAAAATAGAAAGAGAGAGAATGATAAACATAAAATATAGTTAACAACTGGGAGATCTGGGTGGGGATATACTGGAATCCTCTGAACTACTCTTACAGCTTTTCTGTAAGTTTGAAATTATTCCAAAATAAAAAGTAAATTAGAAAAAGAATACTAAATATATCCACAAAGACACTTGTTGAAGAAAAAAAACCCTTTACTTTGCAAGGCTATTGTGAGGACTGTGCCTGGCACACAAAAACATGTGCGCAATAGCTGATGCCGCTGCCAGCTTTTCAGATCTGAGAAATAGCACTTCTCACAAGAAATCACAAGGGGGCACCAAAAGCCAAGAAACAAGGTCTTCCACAGAGCTTCACTGGGCCTTTAGTGCTGTGGTTGGGGGTTGTCTACCCTTCCTTACCCAGAATGCACTCCTCAACCCAAAAGTAAAAACAAGCTTTGTCTGCTGCAAAGCGGGGATTATTCCATTCACAGTAAACAAAGCTTTGGTGGTACCTGAGAGCTAGCCTCCGCTCCTTCTGCTTGGGTCTGGATTTCAGGATAGCTGTCAAGGGTCATTTCATCCATCACAGCGAGGATATCACCTATACAGACCTGCGAAAAGGAGCTTGTGAATGTGATGGTAATGGAAAAGAGCGAGTCCTGGAATGCCTACTCAGAGACACACTTGTTGTGTGAACTCAGTCATATTCTCCCTCATCTTGTTTTGTTAATCTGACTTCTTAGAGGTTTCCTTATCTGTTAAATAGAAATAATACCATTTCTTTTTAAGAGTGTTAATGAGGATTAAATATTTAAATACAGTACCTAGAACAGAGTAGATATCCAGCAGATACTCAATGAACCACAGTATTTTATTTTCAATTTGGTTTAAGCATAAGCAACAGGAAAGAAAAAATGGGATTCAAAGTTAAGATAAACTATGTTCAAGTTCCTACTTTCTATGTTTGTTGGCAAATCACTTTATCTCTTTGAGTCTTACCAACAGCCTTTACGAACTCTGTAAACCATACTCTTACCCTACCCAGGAATTACCTTCTTCTTTTAAATAAATCCTGATCTTAACATACATGTTGCATCCTCCAAGAAACCTTTTATCTAATAAGCTCTAGAATGTAACTGATACAGAAATTATTAAATTCATACTCTAGAAATTATTAAAAAAAAGAATGAGGAAAGTCTGAATGTACTGAGATGGAAAGAACTCAGAGATACTAAGTGAAAATAAACCATAGAATACATACATTATGATTCCATTTTTATGTTTAGGATGAAAAAGAGGCAACCAGGTTGAACTCTTCCTTAAAACCCTTCTGTAGTTGGTTCCCCATGGCCACCCAAATGAAGTTCAAGCTCCTTACCTGGTATTTTCATTATTTGGACCCTGCCAACCTCTCCAGCCTCCTCTCCAATAGACCAGTCTTGCCATCCCTTAAGCTCTGGGTTCCATTTATGACTAAAGTGCCCTTCACTGTCTCTTTCTCTTGCTCTCAAACTTTAGCAGGCATCAGAATCACCTGGAAAGTTTATTCAAATACTGATTGTGGGCCCCATGCACAGAATTTCTCATTTAAGTCTGAGGTGGATCCAAGAATTTCTAACAAGTTCCCAGGTGATATTGATGCAGCTATTCCAGGGACTGCACTTTGACAGCTGCCGCCTTTACAATGGTATGATTCAACTTCATCACCTGAATAAAGGCTAACCAATCATATCGGTTTGCCTGGGACAGAAAGTCCCATGTAGCAGAAAATCCCTCAGTCCAAGGAAAACTGGGACAGTTGGTTACCCTACCTGTATAAAAATCTTCCTCAGGTTGCTGCTTGTGGGCCATTTACTGCTACTGTCAAGTAGTCCTTCCCTATAGCCAGGCCAACAGGAAGTGCCTGAGAAAGGAATTCCATCAGCTTGACTGACTTTTTACTCAAGCAAGAATATTTAACAAAGTTTCTCAAGTTCAGACTCCTCCAAACATATTTTCTTTATTTCCTCCAGAGAACAGGCTTCAGTCCTCCAGTCCTTGTAAACATTTAACACAAGCAGTATCAGATCAAACTGTAAGCATCTGTATCCTTGTCCTGTGTTGCTGGGATGAGTATATATAGGGAGAAGTTAGGACAAATGCAGTGAACACATGTGAGCTTCTTACTCAGCTCAACGTAGGTTTTGTCATGGAATGATAGTTCCACATGGGCCAATGCAGCTCACTTGCTGTGACTTTCAAAGGGTGCCCGAACCCATGGCCCTTGATAATGTTTCCGCTCATTGTTGATCAGAGTCAATCTTTTTCATTAACTGGGACTCTTCTTCCCAAGGGGTTAGAGGTCAGAGAGCTGATAGCGTCGCACAAGACCATCCCGACAGCATGTGTAGATCTGCTTCTCCCATGTGGCTACCTGGAACACAAGAATTCACAGTTCAAAGGAAACCTGGGATTCTTCCATTTCAAAAAGATAGAGCCTTGTCATCGACCCCCAATAGTACAAGGGAGTCTGAGAAGCTTTACTGACTCCAAAGACAAGAGAAGAGTTACATCCATGTTACGTATTTAAAAAATGGCTAGCCAGAATCTAAGGGTGCTCACGACCACAGAACAGAGGAACTAAGTGATCAAGTGGAGAGCAAACCCACTAGTGTTGTGCATGGTTTAGTGCAGACGGACTGTACTTGGGGAGGAGACGATCCATAGAAGGGCCTGGGTATCCCTGAACCTCATAAAATTCTATGCAAAGAAGTTCTCAGAATGTGCACTTTTTCCTGAGGAGAACTTCATCAAATTCTCAACGCAGTCTGAGACTCAAAACAGGTTAATAACTCCTAATTTAGTGCAAATAGTATTAATTCTGGAGTTAAGCTTAACCTGCTTAATTAGCAGGTTTGCTGATATGTAGCTGCATGACCTAGGGCAACTTTCTCAATCCCTCTGGGTCCATTTATTTGTAAAACAAAAATATGTTGATTCACAATATAGAGCACTATGCAGGAATTTAAAAAAAGAAGTGTATCTATATGAATTTGGAAACAGTTCCAAGATGTTAAGTAAAAACCCAAGTTGTAGAGTAATATATATATAGAATGATCCTAATTATGTACAAATTTGGATGTAACACTACATTATTTATGTAAATACATAAACACAAAGATGTAAGTGCAAATTCTCCAAAAACATTCTTGAAAGATACACGTCAAACTATTAATTCTAGTTACTTCGGGAAAGAAGAGTGGAACAAAAAAGTCTTAAAGGGGACTTTTAAGTCTGTACAATTGTGTATTGTTTGAATTTTTATATGTATGTATTAATTATGCAACTGTTTCAAAATTATAAGAAAAAATAGGAATAATAATACCTATACCTCAAGGAATAATAATGACTATTAAATAATAAATGTAAAACATCAAGCACAAAGTCCGGTCAATAAATATTACTTCCCCTTTCATTTTTCTCTTTCTACTCTAAGTAAGATAATCAGTCTTGAACTTAAATAATGATAATAATAACAGCTAATATTTATAGAATATTTAAAAAATACAAAGATCTTTCATATGCATTATCTATTATCCTCACTTTACAGCTGAACTGACAGACTGAGGCAGTGAAGCGAATTTTAAAGTTTCTAGAGCCAGTAAGTGATGAAGTCACTTCTGATTCAAAATTATGATTTCTTTCTATCTCACTCCTAAGTACTATATTACCCCTAATAACCACAAAGTAGCTGCATTCAGTCTCCTCTAAAGCCCTAGATCCTGGGTGAGAATCACACAGGCCTGATCTCCTCTCAGGTATGTACCTTGTACACAGGGTCAGAGTCAGCCCCAGTGAGCTCAATGACATAGTCTAAGTCTTGCTGGACAATGAAACAGCTTCCATCACCTAAAAGGCAGAAAGAAAACTTAGATAACTGAAGAGAAAGCTGTATGAAAAGGAGTTAAAAAAAAACCAACTAAATATTTTAGTTTATTTCTGTACATCACTGGCCTAAAGAAGAACTGTCTGAAGACCCAGAATGGCAGACAGGTCTCATTATGTGGCTCAAATATGAGGCCCTATAATGTCGGCCTAAAATGCTGGCTCAAAAGGATTTGAAGGCCAAGAGCAAGCTTAGTGGGAAGAAGAGTTATCTTTGATTAGCAATAACTGCCAAGGGCACAGAGCAAACAAATGCAGGTTATATATCTGTTTGCAAATTTATCCTAGACAATGATTTTTAACAGGGAATTTGTCTACATAAATGTCTTCTTTAAGAAAATTATGCTCCCAAATTATTCTTCAGTCTATGAACTTGAACACATACATCAGGTTATACCAAGAAAATAAAAATATATCTAATATTTAAACTTACTTTTCTCAGAAAAGCATGGACAAATGAAACTTGGAATGATGTATAAACTACTGAATAAGTGATTTTTTGTTCTTGTTTTACTTAATATAAGAGTAGTACGTGCTCATTGAAGAAAACTTTAAAAATAAAGGAACAGAAGTAAAAACATCACCCATAATCAACCATTTGAAGACAATTACCATTCACATTTTAATGTATTTTTTCAGTCTTTACTGTGCAAATTTTCATTTTACATGGTTGAGAGCATACTGTATAAAAGAATACTTTCTGCATAAAGTTTTTTCTATATTAAGATTTTGACTTTGTATTGAACCTTGGACAAGAATCAAAAGACATTAACTAGTCTTTTCAAACATTTTAGAAACCTGAAAAACTGCTTTCCAAAATTACATGTTGATCAATATTACTTTATCTGTTAATCAATCTATACAACAAGCAGCAGCATACAGGAGGACCGTATTCTTGTATTATTATTAAAAGTAATCTTTTCCAAAACAGAATCTTTACCTTTTAGAGATACATATAGAAATACTGACTGATGAAATAATATGATGTCTGTGATAGGTTTCAAAATTATAAGGGTTGGGGATTGTAAGAGAATGGGTAAGAAAAGATGAAGCAAGATTAGCCATTGGTAACAGCTGAAGTTGGAGAATAGGTACACCAAGTTCATTGTGCTATTCTCCTTACTTTTGTATCTGGTTGATAATTTCTGTAATAAAAAGTTTTTAAAATTGTTTAATCTGGCAATTTTAATCCTTTCTCTAGTAAATCAGAGTTCTAAAGGTCCTCAAAGATCATCTATTTCCAGCTTCTAAACTAGTACAGAATTCCCTCAAGAGCATCCTGCAGAGGAGCCAACCAACCTGTTTGTCCAGTCCCAGAGTTAATGGTGCTCGTTACCTCAATGCCAGCTTCTTTCTTATGAAACAGAACACTTTTCCTTATATTGAACTGAAATGTGGCTCCTGGTAACTTTCTTTTATTGCTCTTAGTTTTGTCCTTTGAAAACAGAGTTATAATTTTAACCTCTCTGCCTTTTAGATATTTGTTAATAACAAAAATTATGCCTTTCCTTCTCTCCAGCAGGAAAGAGCTACAAAAAGTAAGAGGGCCAGGAGTTAGCTCTTCTCCACACATTACCCTTCAAGTTTCCCACACATTCCCTTGCAACAGAGATGTAAATATTTTTTTAAAATAGCTTAACAGTAGGACAGGGGATGTAAGAAAATGCAGAGGCCCTGGGTGAGCTACATGCAGGTTCTCAGGGATACTAAGTTCTGTCACTTTAGAACTGCCACCAAGGCAACATAAGCTTCTCATGTGCTGTACCATGTTTGAAGTTTATAATCCTTCAAAATCTCATTTTAAGTCAGAGTGGGAAACCAACCATAATCTTTTGCCAGTTTTTCACTGTTATTACTACTTCAGCAAGGAAAAGCTACACTACTGAGTTTTTTTCTTTCCTCTCAAAAAAAGTATGATTATCATAGCTCTTCTTCTGCACTCAAGTTTCTATACACAAATCTTACTTGATAAGCCCCAGCGCTATCCACATTCCCTCTAGGAAGCAATTTCTAACCATCCCATATAGTAAACCCTTTCTCCGTCAATCTCTTGTAACATTTATTATTCCTTTGATACTTTCACATATCTTTCCCTACAGCATAATTCTACTTTTTGTGAGTGTGTGCCTTGTCCTGGATCATGATGATAAGAAATACTTTTTAGGAGGGCTTATAGGGCAAGGCAAAGTTACAGGAATAAGAAGAAATTATCATTTATAGGATATCTACTTTATGTTGAGTACTTTATGTATTTTATCTCTAAGGAAATTGAGACTTAGGAAAGTGAAATGGTTTACCAAAGGTCATAGAACTATTAGATCAAAACATACACAACTGCCATTTTTATAAATAAAACATAATTTATTTAAAATAAATTTTATAAATAAAATATATTTCATATGGTTGAATCTAACAGTAGGTGATAGAGTGAGGATTTAAACTCACTGGTTAGGCTATCAGTTTGGGTCCAAAATCTGTACTTTTTCCATATCATGCTGCTGCCCAATAAAATAAGGGCTAAGTAGGAGGTCAGGGCTAGGGCTATGGATTTCAACCTTTAACAGCTAAAACCATGAGAACAGTCAGTCCGTTAGGAAGCACGGAAAACAAAAGGTAGAAGGACAAAGGCTGAACTCAGGAAATATCTCTGGTTTAGGTATGGCAACAACAGTAGGAATAGCAAAAGGATTCAAGTTCAACAAACAATTTGAGAACCTACGGTATACCATGAATCATGCTAGATATGATTCCAGGGAAATGGAAAAAGAAGCAGTAATTAGAGAAAGAGAACAATCAGGAGATTAATTAGTATCACCAAAGTCAAAGGAATTAACAGTTTTAAGAAGGAACTAACAGAATCCATTACCACTAAGAGTCATGAAAGATGAAAACTATATACTCACTCATTCAGCAAACATTTGCTGAGATTCTTCAGTCTTGTGCAAGAGCTGGGGATAGAGAGATGAAAAAGACATAGCACCTGCCCTCAAGGAAACTTAGAGACTAGTGGACAAGAGGCCTGTACCCATAAAAGGACACTGGATCTACCAAGGGGCTCATCATTGGTAGCCTTCAAGAGGGCATTCTGAGTGGAGGGATGGAGATGGTGGACATCCTGCAGGATCTCAAGGGAAGAGAGTAGCATGGCAGCAAAGGGAATCAAAGAAATAGGATCATAATGAGTGATGGCAGCAGCATCAAGGGAAGCTGTTGCAAGCTTATGCCAGCTGATCTCTTATTAAGGTTTCATAAACCCACTATATCACCAACTGATGCCCAGACATGGGGAGAAAGAGATTGAGAGGGAGTGTAGAAGAGCTAGAAAATCAGGTTTACAGATTCCTGATTACTCTTTGCTGCGGTCCGAAAATCCTGAAGAAGGGCTAGGTAAATAAGGCACCAGTTTTGACAGGGATGAAGGGTACCTACCTATATAAGAGTGATGCCCGTGAAAATCTGGACACTGTTGGCTGCCTACTCATCTATTTCTCAACCCTTCTCTTGACTAACAGGATCCCAGATTATTTCCAGTAAACCAGTGACTTGGGGAGTGAATCTTGATTAATCTAAGCCAATTATGGTAATTCCACTACTCTTCCCTTGTCACTTTAGGCATAGCATGTATTATTATTATATTCAATTGAAGTATAGTTGATTTATAATATTTTGTTAGTTTCAGGTGAATCAGCAAAGTGATTCAGTTATACATATATATATTTTTTTCCTGCAGATTATTTTCCATTATAGGTTATAACAAGATACTGAATATAGTTCCCTGTGTTATACAGTAAATCCTTGTTGCTTTATTTTATGTATAGCAGTTAATCCCATACTCCTAATTTATCCCTCCTCTTCACCCTTTCCCCTTTTTGTAATCGTAAGTTTGTTTTCTATGTCTGTGAGTCCGTTTCTGTTTTGTATATAGATTCATTTGTATTGTGTTTCAGATTCCACATCTAAGTGATATGATATAATACCTGTCTTTCTCTGCCTGACTGATTTCACTTAGTATGATATTATCTAGGTCCATCTAAGTGACTGCAAATGCAGTATTTCATTCTTTCTTATGGCTGAGTAATATTCCATAGTATATGAATACCACACCTTAAACCAATCTTCTGTTGGGCATTTTGGCTGTTTCAATGTCTTGGCTATTGTAAACAGTGCTGCGATGAACACTGGTGCATGTATCTTTTCAAATTAGTTTTTGTCTCTTCTAGATAAATGCCCAGGAGTGGGATTGCTGGATCATATGGTAGCTCTATTTTTAGTTTTTAAGGAACTTCCATACTGTTTTCCATAGTGGCTACAGCAATTTACAACCTACTAATAGTATAGGAGGGTTCCCCTTTTTTCCAAACTCTCTTTATTCTTTGTTAACTTTTTGATGACAGCCATTCTGACCGGTGTGAAGTGATACCTCACTGTAGTTTTTTTTTTTTCCACTCACTGTAGTTTTGATTTGCAATTTCTCTGATAATTAGCGATGTTGAGCATCTTTTCACATGCCTCTTGGCCATCTGTATGTCTTCTTTGGAGAAATGCTATTTAGGTCTTCTTGGGATGGCATGTTTTATATATTATAATTCTGGCCAATGAGGTATAACAGTAAGTCAGCTGGGCTGCTCCTAAGGAAATGTTCCTTATTCTTTAAAAGAGTGTAACAGTATCCATGTTACATGAGGATGAGATCTGCTGCAGCTATCTTGCACTGTGGCCCTGAGGGAACAAGCCTGAGGACAAAAGCCAGCATGCCAGGGAGGACAATACCAAAAGATGGAGGGGAAAAAAAAAAAAAACCTGGCTGTTGATTTTATTTCTTTTTCCTTATTAAGGCTTTTATTCACTTTTTAAATTAAAAAAAAATTAAATACTTTTAGAATAATTTTATGTTTACATAAAAGTTACAAAGATAGTACAGAAAGTTCTCATATGCTCGTCGGCCAGTTTTAGTTCATACTTTCTTGGATTTCACCAGTCTTTAATGTCCTGGATGCAATTCAGAACACCACAATGACTTAGCTATCAAGTTTTCTTAGGCTCCTCTATTGACTTTGTTTTCAAATCACTATATTAATCTAATCTGGAACCACCATAAACCTGGACATCTTTGTTAAGTGAAGTAGTACACTTTCCTAATTATTGAAGCCATTTTCAGTTGAGTGTTCTGTTATTAACAGTCAAAAACATCCTGATACACTGAAATACTCAGGTAAGATGGTCCTCTCCAGGCCTACAGTCCAGTCCTCCTCACCTACATCATTCCTATGAAGATTCAGTCCCTTAACAGACATCTTATTCCATGTATTTCTCCTAATCTCACTCCCAAACTCCATTCCAAGTATTTTGTACTAGTTACACCAAGGTATTCACTTTACCCAGACTATGTATGTAAAGCATTGAACACAGTACCTACTACATAGCAGGCACCTAGTAAATGATAGATCCTTTACTTTTGCCCCTCTTCCCTCACCTATGATTTTACACACACTATAGCTTTGGCCCTCAATGTTCATGTTTACATCTTTAGCTGGTAAAATATTCATCAGATTATATGTCACCTACTCCATGAAGATGTCCCTGTAGCACTCCTACCACTTGAATTAGCTGTTTCCCATGTTCCCATATAGTCTTCTGCTGCACAATTTATCAAGCTGTACTCAATCACATATCCACATGTCTGTCTGCCTTATTAACTATGAGCTCCTTTAGGGCAGAGACTGTAACTGATTCATTATCGAATCCTCAATGTTTTGCAACAAGGATCAATATATTGCTCTACCAATGTTTATTTGTATTGAATTAAAAAGTGGGCACTGAATTAAAAAGCTGGGGATAACATGATGAATAAGGCAAAGTCACTACTCTCAGGAAGCTTAGACTGGAGAGGAGCATAGACAATCACAAGTAGTGTGTTAAAGGCCACGTGAAAAACACAATATGCCAACGAATCCTGGAGCACTATGCCCCTAGTCTAGCCACAGACCAGGCATTTAAACCTATGTTTAACTGAACTATATAGAACCACCTCTCTCCATTGGCCCCTGGACCTACCTTGGCTAGCAATGAATCCATCTCTGAAACTCAGCAAGGACAGAACTGGTGCTCCTGATCTGTGGATGACTTGTACTGGAGCCCTGGGATTCAAAATAAATGGGGCAATTTCACTTTTTTTCTTCAAAAGCAATGCTTGACTATGTTCAACATATAGAGCTAAACACAAAACACCACACAGGACAAATGTGGACAGATTAAACATTCATATGGTTTCTTTCATGGCAAGGTCCTTAAACAGTAGATCAAGGTAATCCGTTCAAAACCACCTTGGAATGAATCTAAACATATCTCTAAATATGTGAGTGAGTGGAATGAACAAAGTCACCATCGACATCTCCAGATTTTAGGGGATGCCTGACAAGGGTTTAAAATAACAAAAGTTAACGTAAATCAGCTATACTTCAATAAAAAATGTAAAAAAATAAAATAACAATGTTAACAATATGTTAATCTTTTTACTTATAGGCAAAATCAAGACAGTTGTAAAACACTAAAACTGTTAGGACTCTGCAAAACAAAAGAGAACGGTAAGAACAAATTTTATATACATATATGTAGGTGATTTTATAACAATGATGAAATTTCCAATCTCCATGGAGACAAAAACAAATATAAAAATAAAATAACTTAAATTATGGAAGAAAAGGTATAATCTGGTCACTCTTTGGCTGAAATTGCTCTAAGAATAAAGTCCAAACTCCTGGGGATGGTATGTAAGTCCTTTCTAATCAAATTCCTGTTTTCCTGTCTTGGATCACTTCTCAATATTGCTCCGTTGGCAAGGAACACACTTGTCATATTAAACTACATAGAAATCCCTTAAAGTGTCATGCTTTCATATTCCATTGCTTCTCTATATGCTATTCAACCTAAGGCAGGTTCTTCCGCTTTTCACTTGGTAACTTTCTACTGGACAAGATCTAACTAAAGCCTCATTTTTTTGGAGAAGCAGTCTTACCTTCTTCCTTCTCCTTCTTGGTGCTTCCTCAAATTCCTGTGTGTAACCCTGTTAGACCATTGATCACACTGTATCACAACAGTCTTTCATTGCCCATCCTTACTGTTAGACTCCAAGTGCCTCCAAGGCAGAATCTTTGTTTTCTATTTCTATTTTTTGGTGCCCAGCACAAAGCCTGGTGCCCACAGAAGCCATTCAATAAATATCATTTGAACAAAAGAAGGAAACAGAAGGAGGAAGGGACAGAACTGTAGAAACTGTTAAATCCTGGGACAAAGAGGATGTGGATCCTCTTTGGATATCTTTAAGACCAGGATAAAGCCTATTTTAGAGGTTATGATCAAAGCCAAATAAAGAATCAGAGCTGGCTTACTGGAACTAAAAATGATCAATCTTAGATCAACCCAGATCTAATACCATGGGGAGAATTACTAAGCTCCTTGAAATTAAAAGTTTTACCCAATTATTATAAGTAAAATGTTAGCTCATTATTTAAGTTCAATTTCCAAAGCAATCATAACAATCATGACAGTAGGAATCAAATTACCTTTTAATGTGATTCCAGGAATAACAGGAACAATCAAACAATTCACACTGGAAAACCTTTATAAATGGAAAAATATACCCTTGATTCAACAGTCATGTATATGCTAGGCTAAACCACTGTGAAAGCCAATAAAATTTCCACTCTATAGAAGACCTGCACCACGTTAACGAATGGTGACTCACCTTGGACTCCTTACATCCAGCTGATAAATGTTTCCATCCTGTGTCCCAGCCAACATCAAGAAGCCAGAGAGAAAAGTACAGCAGTTGAAGGCATCTGAGCCAATAAAGAGGAACACCTGGGAACAAGCAGGAGCCAAAAATGCTATTTAAAGATTAATTTGTTTCCTGGAATAAACAAGCCCTAAGAAAATGAGAATTTTACTATTTTTAGACAGAATTTCCTTCTTCCCTCTTCAAGCACTCCCAGTCTAAACTAATCATTCACCAACAACTGAGGAGGAAGCACTCCCAGGATTTCAGGAATCTGAGGCTGACTGAGAACTTAAGCAGGTTATATAATACTGAAATCTGAGGTAGGAGCTTTCACACTATTTCCTCTTAACATATTGACTCATGGGATCCTCAACACCAGAATCCCCTGATTTCCCTTTGGAAGTAAAAGCCAGCATGGAAATTCAGAGTGCAAAGGCAATATGATCAAAAACAGTGATATTCCCAGAACAAACTTTGAAAATGGAAACATCACCAGCACAAGGCAGTAATGGATGAAATGAAAATACAAAGCCTATGGCCAAACCAAATAATTAAATCGTCTGGATGATGATGACAGCAGCTGGATAGAAACTAAGAAAATCCAATCTCAAGGAACTCAGAGTTTAATTAAGAGCACAGTCTGCTTGGCAAAAGCTCAGCAAATGAAGGAAGAAAATTTAACTAATTCTTCTATAAAAGACATTCTGGTCATTAATTGATCTAGAGCCCTGAATGCATGAGTCCTTTACTCAGAAATTCTTCACATTACCTTAGAGATAGAAGAGAACCTATAGAATCTCATCATTTTACAAACAGCACACTAAGGCCCAGAAGGAAAGTGACTTGATAAAGGTCACAAAGCAGTAGGGCATTTAATCTCATCACATAAGCCTATATGGTTAAGTCCTACCATGCCCAGTTTAGTGATAAGGAAATTGAGGATCAGAGAGGTTAAGTAACCTGTCTGATGTCACAGCCATTAGGAAGAGCTAGGATTTAAATGTTGACCTTATTTCATATTCCATGCTCTTAATCACTATACTGCACAGCCCCTCTCACTCACACAGCTTCCTCAAAAGGTGATCATAGGTAGAAAGCAGAAATATTTTCAAAACAACTTTCTAAGAATCAGAGTGACCGAGGTTGCCCCAGAGTTCAAAGATCTTAGATGAACCACTTGCCGGCTGCCTGCTCTGTAGTCCGAAACACTGAAGTTTCTTATCTTCTCGGGCCAACAGCAACATTTTCGACTCTGTTCCAACCTCCCGTTCACCTGCATGACAGATGAGCTATGTCAACAATGGGCTAGGCTGATCAGCTGGCAGTATTTAGAAAGTACAGCTATTGATGGCTGTTTACTGAATTACTCTCAGTGATTGACTTGCTAATTTTCTAAAAATGTATTATGGTCTATATCTTGACTGTGGTATTGCTTATATAACGATATATACTTGTCAAAACTCACAAAATTGTTCAATTAAAAAGGGTGACTTCTACTATATGTAAAATACACCTCATAAACCCAACTTTAAAATATTAAGTCCTTGGTAATATGGAAAGATACCATACTTGGAGTAGGAGTACAATGTTGAACAAAATAGGTCTCTGCCCTCACGGCTCTTATGGTCTGGGGGAAATGAAATTTATTCATTCACTAAATACTTGTTGAGGGACAAGGTCCTTACTCTCATGGATTCTAGTAGAAACAGGGAACAGTGAAATAAGCTAATAAATAAGTAGGAGATTTTCAGACAGTGATGAGGTCTATAAAGAAAATAAAACAGGAAAGTGTGATCAAAAGTGAGTAGATGATGGGAAAATGAGTGGAGGAAAATAAATTTAAACTATTTATTTATTTATTTAAAGTATAATCAATTTACAATGTATTAGTTTCTGGTGTATAGCATAGTGATTCAGTTATCATATATACATATATTCCTTTTCATATTCTTTTCCAGTATAGCTTATTATAAGATATTGAATATAGTTCCCTGTGCTATTCAGTCTGGCCTTGTTGTTTACCTATTTTATATATATACTTCAACTTTTAAAAGGTTACATGGAGGCCACTTTTCAGTTGAGACCTGAAAGGTAAACAGAAGCTAGTCATGTGAAAAGTTTCAGGAGGTATATTCCAGACTAAGGGAAGAATAAAGCAAAGGCCTGGAGGCTGGCAGAGTCTGCTGTAATGAAATAACCAAGAGAGACCTGTGGTTAGAACACAGTGAACCTGGCAGAGGGTAGTATGACATGAGGCTGAAGAGGACTGTAGGAGTTAGAAAGTGTGTTTGTCATAAGCCATGGTAAGGGGTTAGGATTTTAATATATAGCTATCCCTTGGTGTCCACAGGGGACTGCTTCCAGGGCCCACTGCAGATACAAAAATCTGTGAATGTTCGAGTTCCCACAGTTGGCCCTCCGTATCTGAGGGTTCCACATCAGCAGATTCAACCAACTATGGACTGTGTTCCAGATGTGGAACCCATGGATATGGAGAGCCAAATGTATGTATAAAAGGAGGTCACTGGAGAAGAGTAGGGACACAGGAGAGTCCTATGACTTGATTTATATTTTTTAAATGACCATGACGGTTCCTCTGAGGAGAATGGATTATAGAAGACTGCAGGCAACAGAAAAATAGATTAGATCAGGATTCTGGTAGGAGGAAGGGAGAGCTGGAAGGAGAGGGTGAGGTGGAAAAGTGAGAAACATTTTGAAGGTAAAGAAGACAGACTTTGCAGATGTGAACGTGAGAAAAGGTTGGGGGG